AGCAACCAAGTAATTTTTGTACAGTTTTAGGGATCATTTCATTATGATCATCAATGTTCATAATTCTTTTAGAAACCTATACTGTAAGAGAGGCTAGGATTCATCTAAGGAGGATAAAAGACCTTTTGAGCACAACATTTGAGGCAAATGCACATTCTGCAGTTGACAATCTTTCCCTATCATTTTTGTCCTCTATTGCTGGCGTTGATGTTGAAGGTATGCTACTAACAGTTTAATATTTAATATGTGGTGTTGTTACATTCTAAAGGAGAATTACATTATTTTGATATTTCACTAAAAAAAGCGMTTATATAACTTTTTCTAAAAGCAAATAAAAAGGTAAAAATTAAGATAAAGAAAGTTGCAGTAGAGTTACAGATCATAACTTTGTTTAAATAAGAAGGTTTTAAAAACAGTTTTAAAATTATCAAGTGAAGAAATGTCTCTGATTGAAGATGGGAGTGAATTCCATAGAAAATGTCCAGCAACACTAAAAGAACGATAACCATAACTTTTGAGATTGTAAGACTTGGAAGACAGTACCAGTTGAGAAGACGAATGAAGGCAACGAGAAGGACGATATTTTTCAAGCATGTCTTGAACATAAATAGGAGCCAGGCCATGAAGAGCTTTGAAAGTCAGAAGGAGAATTTTAAACTTGACACGTGCGGAGACAGGAAGCCAGTGAAGATCGATAAGTAGAGGTGTAATGTGGCCATGTTTTTTAGAGAGTATGATAAGACGGGCACAGGCATTTTGGACAGCTTGTAGACGATCCATTAGATATTTAGGCCATATAGTAGAGAATTGCAATTGTCAAGTTTTGATGATATAAACAAGTGAACAAGGATTTCCGTAGATTTCACAGACAGGAATTTTCTGATTCTCGACTTCAACTGTTATGTAACGCACCTTGACTTGATTCACATGAGTGTGATTGCTGATGTGTTTTATCATTAGGTTATTATCACAACAAATAAATATCAAGYATTTCTGTTCAGACTGTTGAATTATTTAATTTTTTATCTGATAATAACAAAGTTTGGGTGGTCTATAGTTTTGGAAAAAKAATTTTTGAATTTTTTGTTAGGTAACATTTTCTTGTGGGAAGCTACAAATTGCATATATTTTGCCCTAGCATTGAAMATTAACACACAATCAAATTCAATGTGCCTGTGGTGATAAGATTGTGCAAACTATGCTAACATTGAAGCTTTATTGATTTAAATTCATGACAATGTATAAGACAAGAGTAATAACTAAGGGCATTCAAACCACCTATAAAAAATGGTAGACACTGATCCTGTTATTTTTGGTCCACCTTGGGCTTCTCGATAAATGTTTATTATAGGCYGATGTTCTTACTTTATTATAGATCACTAGCCAGGACAGATTGAAAATGTTTTAGTTAAAACTTCTTTCTAGTAAATGGATTATTCCATGAATTTACATAAGTACCATCATGACTGTTAATATGTGTTTGTACAGAGGAAGCGCTAAAAATTAAAGGACAAACTCAAGAAACCATGAGTACAGAGGAGTGTATGCCACCTGGTCATGTGTTTGGATCGGATGAGGTCTTGCCTATGCTTGAGCCTCTTTATCCAAAATATACTCATCCAAAGGTAAACAACCAAACCTTATTAAAATAAACAATCATGCTGGACTCACTGAGTGCCTAAATAGACATGACAAAACAAAAATTGCTTAAARAGATTGTGTTTTCTTTTGTTGCCATTTTGACGCAATASCTCCAAATAATTGGGTAATGGTATGACGCAGTGTCAATGTGTGGTGGTGAATACATCTTAATAATATAATCAATGTCCAAGAAATTGACATACCAAGAGTACATAAAGATAAAGGTTTCTTTTCTTCTTTTTTGAGGGGGGAGGATTTTTTTAAAGGTGGAAACTATGAGGTGGTAGGAAAGTGAGGGGTGCACCTAACTAATGTGACTAGTGTCACTACCCTGAGCGACCTATAGATTAATAAAACATCTTCTTTTTCTTCTTCTGTCTTTTTTATAGGTTCCATGCTGTGTTAAAGTACTTGCACCAAGCAGTTGGAATCCTCCACCAGGATACAGAAAGTTAGCAGGTCAGTAGATTAAGTACATTTTATGTATACATGTAGTTTAAAACATGAGAGAGTCTGTTTTATCAAGTATAAAGATTTGAGCTGAAGGCGAGAATCTTTATACCTGATAAAACACGATCTCGAGTGTTTTAAAAGGCTTCCGTTAAAATTCTTGGAGAAATTGCCGTAAAAGTATGTTCTGAGATAAATAGGGCAAACTGATCATGCATGAATCACTTTACAAAGCACTCTTGTCATCCCACATTGAATACACATAAAATAAAACAGAAGCGCTGTTGGCTGTTCACAGCAATCGGTTGACATCCTGCATTGGTCAATGATCAGGTTTCAAACCTGAGACCTTTGCTAGGGTCATGGACCTTTA